AATACAGAGGGCTAGTTTCGCATATGTCAGTTTACGTCGTCTCTGGCGTGTGTACTGCTCAACAGTCCGCTCCGTCCTCGTTTATGGCTGTGAGACCTGGCCATTGAGAGCGGAAGACATGAAAAGATTAGCTGTCTGCGATCATAGGTGTCTGCGTTCTATCTCCCGCCTGAAGTGGTATGATAAGGTGAGCAATATTGAGGTTAGGCGTCGAGTGTTGGTAAGGAGGGAAAATCAGTCGACGAAACTGTGAAATTACATCGACAGAGATGGTTAGGACATGTGTTACGTATGCCTAGTCATCGTTTTCCTCGACGGGCAATGTTAGCTGATATACGGCCAGGCTGGAAAAGAGCTAGCGGCCGTCAAACGAAAACATCGTACCAGTCAATGAAATCTACAACAGTTAGTTTAAGCCACGTAGGAAGGTGTAGACTTCCTGGCTGGGGTCTTCGGGACGGTAAAAACCAATGGTTGGAAACAATTGGTGACATGGCTCAAAATCGTTCTCAATGGCTGGCGCAGATGCATCCACTCCTTGTGACTTATGATTTTCAATTAAACTTTTGTTCTTCGCTATTACTATACCTTTGTCTCACACCTCTGTTTACTATCTATATTATGCATTTCTCCTACTTTCTTTGTGTGCTACATGGAGTGTGGTGACTTGAACTGCCGCACATATGTGCAAAGTTCTATGTCGAAAACCGACCGACCGAGTTCTATGTAGACAAATGATCACGCCCCCTTCTGGTCCATTAATGGCACCACTATGTTAGAATAAATGAATGATGCTTTCTCACGTAGAGTAACAGATAAGTTATGGGGTGTCAAAATAAATAGTATTTGTGTGACAAACGTGCTAGGCTTCAATCGATTACAAAATATTATAAAGTGGGAGACACTGGTGGTGATTAGTCATAATAGATTCGTAAAATGTGGGGTAGGAAAATTGACAAGTCAGTTTAAGGTTATAAAAGGTGTCAGGTGAGTGACTAGTACAAAGTGGTATGTATTAAAGACGAGATAGTAAAACTGCAATGATAGGTTCATAATGAAATAACCAATGTGTGAAATGAGAAAGGTGGAGGCATATATTGAGGAAAAGATAATACCACTACTAAGAAGTCCGGATAGTATAAATGGAAAATTCGATAATATTGAATGTTTGCTTGAAGGGTATCAGTTAAGACGAATGATAATAACTGTAACAATAAGCAAAGGAAAAAACCAAGAGGATTAAGGGGAAGAAGCACTCTTGGTGAGGAGAATCATTAATCCAAGTTTGACCACGGTAGAAATAGCATCTGGACGTGTTCTTTCATACTCTTCATGCGAACATTCTCTCAATACTATCGAATTTTCCATTTATACTATCCGGACTTCTTAGTAGTGGTATTATCTTTTCCTCAATATATGCCTCCACCTTTTTCATTTCACACATTGGTTATTTCATTATGAACCTATCATTGCAGTTTTACTATCTCGTCTTTAATACATACCACTTTGTACTAGTCACTCACCTGACACCTTTTATAACCTTAAACTGACTTGTCAATTTTCCTACCCCACATTTTACGAATCTATTATGACTAATCACCACCAGTGTCTCCCACTTTATAATATTTTGTAATCGATTGAAGCCTAGCACGTTTGTCACACAAATACTATTTATTTTGACACCCCATAACTAATGATGCTTCGATGTGTGCAGTTTCGCTTTCACCTACGAAAACTTTTTGACCTGAGAATGTGTAGGGACTCTGCGTGTTCAGTCATCGTTGTATTCTAAGGATCCCTTGCATCTGAAGGTGAGATCGTATAATTACTTGAAGCTCTATGCTGCATGTGGAGAAAATATGAAGGTCATCTTCCAGTGGGTTTTTCATCTTTGGTGACTTCGAAACTCGTTACAAGTGTTCTCCTGGCAACTGTTTAGTGGCTCTCGGGTTAATCGCAGAGTTGATCAGCCCATGACGTGCAGTGAGATGGAGGGAAGAGTTGTGTTTGATGATGAGTATCTGTTTGTAAGTCACAATTCCCTTGTGCGACCAAGAGATCGAGTGACTCAATGTCTTGATATTTCGGATCGGTCCCACAATCAAAACCAGTGACATCCATGCTGCAATTTCATTGTGTACGTTTCTTATACCAGAAAAGTAGTGGAAAGTAATTAATAACCTCTTGAACACACCTGATTGGCATTGTCTATATATTTCTCCTGCCCACGTCGTCCCAATCCCCACCCATTTATATTGTTTGATGACTAATATTATTATTTTGGGTAGTTTACCACCGAATAAATAAACAAGATGAAAGCTAATGATTTCAGGCTTCGTGATATGACGAGAAACCGTTCTCAGTGGTGCAGATTCGTTTATTCTCTACACATTCTACTAATTTGCATTTAATTATCCTCTCTGTTACCCATGTTCACCTATCGTGATATCACTACGTTTCTGTTTCGTTTATGTATGTGTTTTGAAGTGTGAAAACTTGGACTGTTGGACTTCTGGAAATAGTTCTTCGTCAATTTATGAATGACCCAATTATTTCTCAGCTTGATTCAACAAGTATTACACTAAGAATAAGAAAAAAAAGAATAATATTATATATCCATACGTATGGGAGAACTAGGCAGCAGATAATAGGCATCCGTAGTCGATGTAATATTCGTCCAAAACTTATATTCTTTTTGACCGTAAACTTGGTTTGTTTTTTATGCCTAATTTAAAGCAAATAGGTTAAAGGAATCCCTTCTTAAGCTTACAGTCAAAACATTTAACTCAAAAGCCGGACTTTCTGGTAGCATGTTTTAACTTCATGTGAATCTAGAAGATTGAGGATACTTGTGTTATATTTCGAAAAATAATAAATTGTCCATAAAGCTCTTTATCATGGGCACCGGGAGTTGGATAGTTTTAGACCTTATCGCATTAGTATTACTCTGAAACAACCAACTGAATGACTTGTTTTTATTATGCGCATCTTTGTGTAAGTATTTACAGTTATAAATTTTGTGTTCAGGAGTTGGATTTTGTTTTTTTTCATTTTACGTACTGTATAGGACTCCTTATCGAATTATATGGTGTAAAAATGTTTTATAAGTTGATTCGTACTTATCATTTGCAAATGTTGGTGTGTGCTTTGTATGATTAGGGAATACAATTTAATTGTCGGATTTTGAAACTAGTTGATGTAAATCCATATGAAAAATAGTTCAACTATATATACTTAGGGTTTTAAAAGGTTATGAACAGTTAAGGTCCATTAGTAAGAATGAATTGAAAATTTTTAAGTAGGCTTGCACTAAAAGCTTACACGCTTTAACATAGTCTAGTTGTCACTTTAGCGAAAAACTGTCTAATGTGGAACAGCTAATGCTCAATTTTTAATGAATAACTTACCAGTAATTTCTGTTGTTTCGGTTTAGACGATGTGATCAACCAGCAGTGCACGTAGTTCGAAATTGAAAGGTTGATTTTAAAGTTCATCAATAGTAAGTGCCCCTTTCTAACAGTAATTCGTAAATTGCTGTTTGGTCTTTTTAAATATAATTAGAAGACAAATTGTGAACCCGTGTGAATAAACTGATTTGATTGTCAGCAATAATTTATGCTCGAAACGTCATCCAGTTGTTAATACTGCATTCCTGTGTGATAATTAAAATAAACTTATCTAATGTGGAATTACATTCTACCACAGTCCCCAAGTTCTATACTTACATTGAAAATAAGTTGTAGTTACCGTTTTAAAGCAAAATAATGCTAGTCCTTACATTTTATCCAAAACGCTTCCAACTTCAGTGGAGTTGAAATTTGCAGTGTGAATTTTTTTTTCACTACTTCTGTATTCGTGTAGCAAATTTGAAGGAAGTATTCACTCAGTACCATAGTGGTCTTTCAAGATCTGTATAATAAAACTTCAGTAAAAGTTGTAGTGACTCAGTTCATAATTGTGCTGATGTATGCGTGCTGTGCTCGCCGAGAAATATTAGCTGACCTGGAATTAGACTTGAAAAGAGATAGTACGTGGTCAGACCGAAATTTGGCTTCAGTCCATGAAGTCTCTGACTGTTGGTTTGAGGCAAGTAGGGAGATGTAGACCGCTTGTTTGGGGTCTTCGGGATGCTAAGAACTAATCACTAGAAACTATTCGTGGTACGGCTAAAACCGTTTTTCATGACACAGATTCATTCCGTTAAATCGTCGTGTTTTTCCATGTTGAAATGTTTCCTGGCGTACATTTCTGCTCATTATAGTTTGTTTAAATCTCATTTTTCTACCTTTGTGTGCTATATGAAGTGTAGCAATTTGAATGGCTGCACTTCTGTGCAAAGTCCTACGATGAAGCTCAGTTAGTCATCTTATGAAGTAGTTAAATGCATACGGTCAGTAAATAATTCATTCTTGACTCCCACCCACTTGGCTTTTCAACCCCTGTTGTTTGGTCATGCTGATTATTTCACTAGACCTCATACAACAGATGTTGCTTATTGTTAAATGCATCACTATGCAAGTAGTTGTTGATGGACGCATGTCTGTATTTGTGGTCTACAAAGTGTGTAAGCGGTTGCATTTACCGCTAACGTATACAAAAATACTTTTCTGAGTCAAAATTCATAGTATTCAAATGTATCTTGGTGTATCGTTAAAGCACTGGTTTTATAGAATAGATGTGAGATATTAGGAATGTTCAGTTAATGAGGAGTGTCGATCATATATGATATTCCGTGATGACCATTATGTTATCACCAGTCTTTTCATTTTTATAGGAAAATCTTCAGCAGGGTTGAAAGAGTGACAGGACCTGTGAGTGCATAGATACACAAAATTATTTCGAAAGGAGAAGGAGGATTTGCCACCTTCAGCATTTATAAACACACTATTAATTAATTATTCGGTTGTCATTACCTTACCTTGGATACAGGTGCCTTCATAAAGTATAACATTTGTTACTAGAATTTTTGTCTAAATTGTCTGTTTCACATTTGTTCACAGGGAAGCAAACTTAATGATGTTACTGTGGTGTACACAAAATGGGAGAACTTGAAAAAAACTAACGATATGGATGTTGGCCAAGTTGGTTTCCACAGCAATAAAGCAGTTCGAAAAATTGTAGTTGAAAAACGAATCGGAGATATTATCAAACGACTCAACAAGACAAAAGAGCAACGCCAACAGCTTGACTTACGTGGCGAGCGGGAAGAACGAGATAACCGTATGAGAAACAAAGAGAAAGCTGCACTGGCTGCGCGTAAAAAAGCTGAAGCGGAAGCTCAAAAAGCACGCTTAGCTGAAGCACAGAAACGGTCTTACGACCGATTGTTTGTTGAGAGCAAGATGAGAACAAACGAAGATGGCTACGACTCAGATGATTTCATGTGAACAATAAACTTCCAGTTACTTCTCACTGCTGAAGAATCTCTCTGCTGATATTTTATTTAGTTTTATACACATTCAGCTAAATGCTCGTGACCGTACATGTAAACAAGAAAGTTTCTTTGCTTAAGGTCATTCATCTATTAAAGGGTTTACAAACTGACGTATGTTTTTCACATGAAACTTTCTTTAGTCTTTTATTTATCCACTAAAGTAACTTAATCTTTCGGATGTGTACAGAGAGTTTTCGAATGGTTAATTACTCGAAAATGTCTACGTTTATGTAAATGGGATTTTCTGTATAGATGTCGGTATTGGCTGGAATTTCTTCCACCAACACACGCCTACTTATTCCTGAATTTATGTAAAATTATATGAGCGGTTGTACAGAATGTTCATAAAGTCTTTTGAATTTAATATAAATCACGGGAAGGTGAATTACTTATGTGAGTTATTGCACAAATCGATATATTTGACATCAGTTAAATTCTTCTGCGGTTTCGTAGCAGATAAGTGTTACCGGTATATGTTTACGTTAGTGCCACTGAAGTACGGAAGACCTTTTCCAGAGGATAAGATGTGGCCAGTGAGTGAAACTTAGATACTCGGGCCGTACTTTCATGTACCAGCCTCAAGGTCACATTTATTGCGTGAGGACTTATGTTACTAGATATGATGGAGAAGATTTGTAGCTCAGGTGGATGATTTTGATGTAGTTGTGTTCTCTGAGCTGGATAGTTTATTCGCGAAGCTTTCATTGCCCTACTAGGCAACATCTTCAGCGCATACTTCAATTTGAAGTGAGCTTTCAGATTTCTCCATGAGTTTATTTGTCATCTCTCCTGGAGACCTTGAACGTGGTTGGTTGTCTTTGTGTTTTCACATCCTCTAGGCTACTTGTATTGGTGCTGATTGTTTCCTTGACCTGAAGTTTGACCCTTTGTGTGTGCGATTTCCTTCTTATCGATTGGTAAATTTTGTCTATGTCGATGTGTCTATTGATTGACGATTCACTGGAATACCAGGTTTCTTAGAATTCTCTAGCATTCTTGGTGTTTTCTCTGTCTAATATTTGAACGTTGTCCCAGTTGAATTGATGTCCGTGGTTGTCTGTATGCAGCGATATGAGGGAGTGGATGTCATGTCATTTGATGGCTAGTTTATGATCATGGATACGAAGACGAAAGGGACATCCACTTTGACCAATGTAATGTTTTTTCAAAGTCGTTGCAACTTATAGATGATGTTGGTTTTATCTTTCGTTGTTGAGTCTTTTGGTTGACACAGAGCTGAGTGAAGTAATTTTGTTGGTTTATGTGCGACATCAATTCCTAACGGTGTGAAGAGTCTTGCAGTGATTTCTGAGATGTCATTTATATATGGTAGGGCGATTTTCTTTGTGCTTTCCTTGGGGGCTTTTGATTTGGTAGCTTGGCTTGGGTGTAGATGTCTTTCGATGAAGTTTCGTGGATATCCATTTTTGGGGAGACGTCCGTGAGATATTTCTTTTCAATTTTCCTTAAGGTGAGAGTACTGCAACGAGTCCTGGCCCTCTTGAATAATGTTTTTATACAACTCCTTTTGTGTGTTATTGGATTATTGCTGTTGTAATTGAGTATTTGATCTGTGTGGATTGATTTTTTATAAACTTGAGTTTCTAATTTTCCTGTGGTTGTTCTCTTGACTAAGACGTCCAAAAAACCATCCAGCTCAGAGAACACAACTACATCATAAGACTTATGAGACAATCCAGTAGCCCAGGTTGAAATAGGTATATAGTAGTTCGATCTGGGAACCCATTGGCTGAAAGTTGAGCATTTAATAAAAAGAGTGCAACAGTTGAAATATCGGTTTCTTACTCAATAGGCCTGGCATAAATATGATGTCATAATACAAGTTTAGAGATACTTTTAGTGTATGGCATGAGATTCGTTAGAATAACTTTACTTGGTAAAACTTCAAAGTTCTTAGTAGATCATTTGGTTGGTTGTAAGAAATCAAGTAGCCTCTTTGGATCTTAATAAATGAATGTCTGAGTTCATTTCCTTTTTGAAGGAATACGGAAAAATAAGTCTTTGATACCCTTTTTTGTAATCTAGCTTTACTCATTCAGTGACTACAATCTGGTTTGAGCTGTTTAGTTCACTACTCATTTTGAGGAGGCCTGGTGCCACATTCAGTTTCATGTAGAGGCAGTCATGGAGGGTGTTGATAATCTCCAACCAAACTTAAGTAAGTGCTAGTGCGTTTCCGCAGCTTAATCCTTACTGAATGATACAAGAAGACTGATACTGGCAGACTCCGAAAACACTAACTGAAAGCTGACATGACAGACATAGTATAGCTGAAAGTCATCACAACGACTGAGAACAGTGGTGGGCATCAAAAGCAGAAGAAATGAAGAAGTGTATTGGTTGTAGATGTTATCCGTCAACCATTTAGGTCCATTAGAACAACAGGTCCTAAAAGATGTACTACATGTGAACTTCTTAGGACAGGCGGTTGGAATAGCCACACTGTTATTCTCTACCATCGAAACTCAAAAAATGAGATATGGTTGTGTGAACAGTACTGGTTGATTTGAGTGGTATACAACCATCCACCATGACAAATCAGTAGTATATAGTTTTACGCATTTTTGCTAGCTTTGCTGATTACTTATCGTGATCTGAATGATTTTGGTTTTCAAAGGAAACTGTGATGAAATTCCACCTCGAATTTTGTAAATCTCGAATTGCTAATTAATTTGGAAATGGTGAATTTCACTAAACAAGGTGGTCTTCGAAGACTAACGAGAAGGCATACTTACCAACGTATAAAAAATGAAGCCTCAAAGCCATTAAACTGTGACAAAAAAGGCTAATTAAATCGTAGCATAAGTTAATGCAGTCGTATAAAATCTTATAAAGAATTTTCGAGTGAAGAGACCCCCAACCAGTCGTATACTTATTATTTATTTTTTATTTTGATTACAGCTTGATGCCACACCGTACTTTCAGTACAAGTATGACATTTGCAGCATGGATATCGGTAGCCCAAATTTTGCAGGCCGACCATAGATATCGGGTGTGCGTCGGAAGGGGTTCGAACCCCGGACCATGTGCATGGTCGGCGAGAGTCCTAACCACTGTGCCACCTTAGAAATGATGTGGTACGGTTTTTATTACGGTGTCTGCGGAATCAGCCTGTTATCAGGCAAAACTCTCGTAGATTTAGAGTACAAAAATAAAGAAAAAATCAGTGAAACAATTTCACAGGTAATTCAGCACTGTCAAATGGAATTCAACAATACACGACTAGTAATAAGTTAATATTATTCGAGGGGAAGTGTGTTCGGAAAGCGTATCAGCTACTGGAATCATCAAGTTAACTATATATAAAAGAAAGACTACTGTGGAAATTTAAACACACAACAAAGGCTCCTATACCTATTCAGAAATCTCACCGTAGATATTAAAGTCATCCCAGCATGAAAGCTACGAAACATAACAAACTCAAAAAGAAATCAATAAAAAAACTAAAACAAACATAAGTAGAAACCAAGTAAACAAAAAACAAATAGAAAAGCATAACACAAGGATAGCGCGGCAATGAAAAAAAAAACACAAATCTGAAATACACCAATATATTATTGTACAGAAATTTGAACAAATAATAACCGAATTTAGTATACCGGCTCACTTCAATTCGCACAGTAAGTCAACATGAAGTAAACAGTCGATTATATGTAGGGAAGAAGACTGAGTGACTTAACTGTAGATTGTCATCTCTGCAATCGTTGTATATTTAAATCAGTGTGCCAATATCCAAGTCAATTCAATAACTCACAGTTTATAACCTTCAACAATATAACTCGATAAAGAAATAACGAAGACATGATACACGGGATATCACAATTCCAATGTCGCTCAATTCCATTAGACACCAATTTAGGTTGTCTGACCTGGGAAATTCATTCACGATTGTATCACGAAGGCAGTTGGCTTTCGACATATTCTAGCCTTCATACTGTATAAAAGTGAAGATGAATTCAGTCACTGTTGATTCTCTTCACACGACAGGTTTCATAGACACATCAATGAGTAAGCTGTAATGTACATCGAATGTACAGTTTACTTTCAATGAAACAATCTACAGACAGAAGGATGGTATTGCAATGGTTTCTCCCTTGGGTCCTCTCCTTGCAGACTGTTTTCTGTCCAGTCTAGAAAATGGTCAGTTGAAGCCTACAATCCAAAGCTTTCAAATGTATAAAAGGTATGTAGATGACACCTTTATTATTTTTAATAGTGATTGTAACTTGAATAATATATTAAATATATTTAATGGTTGCCATCCAGCGATAAAATTCACACTCGAAATAGAGAACGAGTCTAGCATTCATTTCCTCGATGTGAACTTATCAAGGAGGACCGATGGAACTCTGAAGAGAGCGATTTATCGAAAGCTGTCATGGAATGGTCAACTGACAAATTTCTACAGCTGGGTACCCATTGGTCGAAAACGAAACCTTATCTGGTCGCTTGCCACTCGCATTCGGCGCATATGGACCCCTTATACTGTGGAAGATGAGATATAAATTTTGTGGAAAATCCTAATAGAAAATGGATTTCCACCGCGTTTTATAGACAAGAATATACATTCAAATCCTATAAAACGTGACTTATCATACGCACCCAAGAAAATAATGTACATGAGCTTGGAATTCAAAGGGGACTTAGCTTCCGATATCGTGAAACGAAGGATATCACTCCCTGAAAAGAACATTCCCTGCTACATCTCTGAGAATAACCTGGAAGACAAGATCCCGCTGTTGACCAACTCTATATATGTTTATCAATTCACCTGCTCGTGTGGAACTAGGTATATCAGTCGTTCAAATCGAGTTTAGTCCAAGAGGATGCAAGAACACTATCCTGCATGGTTACGAAGAGGTGGAAGTGGAGCAATAAGAAACGCGATCATTGAACATCTGGTCGATAATGATCACCCTATCTCTATAGCCTCCGCCTTTGAAGTCATCTACAAGGCAAAGAGTAATTTACCCAAATCCCTACGTACCCGACTCATCTGTACTGCTGAAGCCTTGGCTATCGAAATAGAAAAGCCAGATCTCTGTGTACAGAAAACGTTCGTTCAACCCCTCCAACTTTCATGGTCTTAATCCCTCTATGCTAAAGTATGGCAATCCCCAATCATATTTTGGCTCCACCAATTTATCATTTTATCTTTTCAATTTGTATTCTCTTTCTTATTACGTCAATTGTTACTATTAATACTCTCACTTTGAACTGTCCCCGGTATTATTTCACTTATCATTCTGAATCAATTCTTTTTTTTACAACGTTAAATTCTATGCTATCAAATTTCACACAATATTACGTAAAGTTTTTATTTTATTCGATTTGTCTACTAATCCTATAATTGCACACCCTTTTTCAAGTTCTATCCATCCTATGAATTATTTTACATATGACATTAATTTGTTTTGCCACTTGACATTTAACTATGATTATAATCACAAACATTTTAGTTGTAATTGCAATTCATATTATTATTATTTCATGCATTCACACCTATGTTTCAATTCCCTCACCGGATATAACTTCTTAAAAACCATATATATACGATTGTACAGCTTGATGATAAATTCGTTGAAAAGAGTCTCTTCGCTGAATCACTTGTTTTGATTTTTAAATTTTTTCATCCACCTCACTGTACTAATCATGTACATCCAGATATTCAATTCACAGTCTGTATTATCAAGTGACCAACCTAGTCACGTAATCCACTCTCGAAGTAGAACGCTTCAAATCCAACTTAGTGAGCGCACTCTTATCCTCAACATCAGAGGACCAGATGTAAGTAACTCTAACGTATTTCACTGAGAATTAGACAAACGGTGTTCAGAATCAATGGTTGCAGACTTTCGCTGACACGGGTCAAAAGCCTTGTCAACGCCACAGATGTAATATTCACTCATCGTCTTCATCCACACTTTCAGAATGTCCACCAATCTCCACTTATTTATTTAGTTATTTATTCGTTCATTTGTCTATTCTTTTACACGAGCATTTTCTCCATTGTAGTTTCATTTGATCACATTACATTGCTTTTCTCTTCCGTCTAGGCGTGCATTGGCGACATGTACCAACTTAAAATAATGCATTCTCGTGTAAACTTTTAACCCCTCACTTAAGACAATTAATCGGCTAGTTAGCCAGGTGGTCAGTCAATCTGCCAGTGAGTCAGTCCCCGCTATCTGATCTCTGGCCATCTCGTCCCGATTGACTAACGACACGACTCTTCTACTAGCCTAGACACTCGATTTATACATTCATTTCTACCCAACTACTACGACTACGAGATATCTATCGAAAGGCACTTGGTTGAGGTCAGTCATTTCATGTATCCAGACTGAAATTTGTCAGTGCAAACGCATAAATAACCAAGAGCCGATGTTTCACTCGCCAACTACTCATCACTCTAATCGAGCTTTCTCGTCAAACGGCACGTAAACATGTGCTCAGTGGAATAATGCACCTTCAGCTCTAATGTTTGGTGTGACACTGACGCCGGCAGCGATACCGATACCAGATAGGCCCAATATCAATGCCATAAGATCATCGGATAGGCCCACATGAAATATAAATACCTTCTCTTTCCACATCATCATATTTCACTTCGTCCATCAACTTTCACTATTATTAGCGAAAATTATTCTGTTTCAGTATCGATGCGTGAACCAACACAAAATTTGAAATACTTATTTCTTTCAGACAATAAATAGTACGTGTGTACTGCTACAAAACTCCTACACCAGGAAAACAGAAACACTAGAATTAGACTAACAGCAGCGGATATCCTAGAAAGGATAAGGTCGAGTAAATGTGTGCTGCTTATTCGCATCTTACTCTTGCTATTCAAGACAAAATACACTCATAAGCTAATTTAACAAGCCGAATTTAGTTCATCGGCTGACCTCAATTCGCACAGTAAGTCAACATGAAGTAGACAGTTGATCATATGTAGGGAAGAAGACCGAGTGACTTAACTGTAGACTGTCATCTCTGCAATCGATGAGGGCAGGATGAATGTAAGCCTGTCACAACGCCAACACAAGGTATTACCTCGTTGTATATTTAAGTTACTGTGCCAATATCCAAGTCAATTCAATAACTCACAGTTTATAACCTTCAACAATATAACTCGATAAAGAAATAACGAAGACATGAAACACGGGATATCACAATTCCAAAGTCAATATATGGAGTGTGGCGACTTGAACTGCTGCACATCGGTGCAAAGTTCTATGTCGAAAACAGACAGACAGACAATGTCACTCACTTCCATTAGATACCAAATAAGGTTGTCTGACCTGGGAAATCCATTCACGTTCGTATCGGGAATGCAGTTTATTCCGGAGTTATTTGGAGGATAAGTTTTTGAACATCTGCGGTTGTCTACGTTGTTATTTCACGTTTTTGGTTGGAGAGATGTTAAGGGTTGTTATTTATTTAGTTTTCCGAGTCACCATTAGAAGAATATTTACCTATTCGCGTTAACTGAATCTCATCTTAGGCATTTCAAGGATGTATGTATAATGGAAATAATAGTTGCGTCAGGATCCTCTCACTGCAGTTAATAAGACTATTCCTAATAACCGTTTATGCTCCTCAATCAATCTCTTCTGTGACTTCATGCATTGGAATAACTGATTATTTTAAAGTGAGTACAGCCCATGGCTTTTTGAGTCAACACTTATTTAGATTGCCAATTTTTGATACGCCAACTCTAGTTGATTGATTCAAGCTTACGATCATACTAATGTATTTGATAGTCGAGTATGAACACCACTCTGAATCCCGCACAATTAACAATCATATGGATATTTCATACATTTGGTTGCCTTGATGAATTTTGATAGAGAAATTTATGGATATTTCTTTATTCTGTGATAACACTGCGGTCTTAATTGTAGCACACTTAAGCGGTATTCACACTTGATAATATTATCCGCGATGTTTTGTGCTCAATACTTTAAAAAAGAATATTTTAGTTACAAAACTACGCATGACTAATCTCTTCTTCACCATTTAATACCGCTGTTCATGTATATTCAAACGAATCAATAAGGTCAGCATAATTAGTAGACTTTGTTTTATTATACATCTGTGTACAGCTTACGGCGTTTATTTACTGTAGAATCATTAGGGATGGTGGCTTTCTTGTCCTTCTTGATACCAGATTTTACTCGTTCAAACCCTCGTTTTCGATGTCCAGTCAAGGCTGTTCGGATGGTTGGTCCTGGTCTTAGATTTTCCAATTCTGAAGATTTGCCTACGTGAACACGGCCAATTCGGCTGCCAAAAACATCAACATGTTTATTCTTGGTCACCTTGTTCCCTTTCATAATTTCAGATGGTATGCGATGGGCTCGTTTCCATTTGTCCTGAAATGAGAATTGTTGACGAGGATGATTATTACGAAATTGACCATACGAAGTATAATAAGCACTAAAAATTAGCCAGACTGATACACTGTATATACGTACTGTACTTCCAAATAGGTCCTTTGAATAAACACTACATTAGCACTTTTATCATTTTTTGAATACCCAATTACAAAAAATTTACATATTTCAACGTGTTGTGTTTGAACTCAGTTCTCTTAACCGGTGCTTTATCACGTTTCAGGAAATGAGCTACACTTATGATATGAGGGCTGATAATACTACCCAGCTGATCAGACTAAGGTAGGTGGATTGGTTTTAGAACTAGGGACCCACTAGTTGAAAGTCACACGCCTCAACTTCTCAGCACTGTAAGATGCTTCTTTGTCAAGATACATTTTAAGATGCACAATGTAAACACATGAACTGAATTGTCATTTTACACTAGAAATATAACAGTTAACCGATGGAAATCCACTAATAATAAAATGTTTTCAAAAAGCAACCTACACTGAACTCTGAGCTTCATTAGTGATGATTATCAGTTAGGTTAGTTTGTGAAAATACGAAGACAAATTTCGTCTGTCTCAAGTAACTATTTTTAATCTACACCAAAAACTTTACCGAACAATCATATCCTAACCCATCTCACTTTTAAAATATCACTACGTTCTGTCATTTTCCTAGCTAGTTAAATATTCTGCAGACGACATGAAATAGAGATCTAATATCAACACAGTGATTATACTGGGACTACCTAGGCGGTAATTTAACTTAAAAGAGAAATTAAGATATGTCTTATTTCAGTCTTAAGTATATACAACTGTTTAACTCAGTCATTTTTTAAAAAGATAATCTCAACAACCAAACATTTGATACACCTCTTAGCTAAAATTATCAAAATATTTACGATCTCAGAAAACTCTATATTTCAAGAAGAACATCTCGCTTTTTGGGTGGCCCAACTTTAAAAAATCCAGTGTCATTTATCAGCGCCTCTAATGCTACTTATCTACCATTTGCTTGTCATGTTAGAGGTTGAGTGAAACTATGACAGTAGAGTTGATTTTGTTTGGATTCATAAAGCATTTTTGCAACTGTCGCTAAGTATAAACCACAGCCACTATATTATAACGTGATGGTAAACATAATTAATAGGTGTTACCACTGATTTTACTGAAGACAGAGTAGGACAAGGTAAAAGCCAGTGGTGCATTCCAATTTTCAACTTAAACGTGAGTTTACGGAAGTTCATAATATAATCTTTCTGAATTATTTTTAAGATGCAGACAGATGTAGGTAGATCAGGGTAGCGCACTGTCTGCTGTGGAAATGAGGTTAATAGTGATGACAGTCATCTCTTGGTCAATGCCAACGTACATACACGGACCTGTATGTGACTGTCATAAGATAATGTAGCACTACTCTTAAACCAGTTTGCAAGTCACTGGTAGTTTGAGTCGTCCAATAACTTCTCTACTGCACTTGCACATGCAAACCAGCAAACACCATACAAATCAAGGTATCAAACGAGAATATCAGAATACACGTATTTTCTGTATGATTATTACAAGATAACCCTTCCCGACTCAAATAAACTACATGTTTCTGGTTACACAGCTTTTCAGTGCTTATTGAATGTCTAAATCCGAAATTGTAACGGTTCAGTTCATGACACTTGCTGTTTGATTTGAGAATAAAAATGAAACTGCAATGCCTATTAAGCAGTACAACAGAGCCCTTGATTACTGAGACTTCCCGCTGTAGTTCAGAAGAACAGTGTAATTTTTGTCTCAGACATTAACTTTAAAACCGAATCTATAGGGCTACTACAAACGTTTATTCAGTTTTCATACATTCTTAGCGTAGCATATCCTCTCACCAACCTAGTCAGTTAAATACGTTTGATTTCGCCTATGTATTTCCAAAGCTCTTCATATCTATGGCATGGGAAACAAGATAGCTATAAAACTGTTGGTCTATCTGATATAATTTGAAAATACTGGAATTTTTAAATGTAACTCGGACTTTAACTGTGATTAGACGGCTTCTCTGTACTACGAACCAAAATCGTAAGCAATGGTCATAGATCTAGAAGACGAGGACGGAGAAGAATGTTCAGGAAAAATTAAGAAAAATGTCCAGTATTCAACTGATAATAAAGTGAAAATATGCGTTCCGGCAATCGACACTCCGCAGCTTTGCATACGGTATGACTGCCATGGAAGTTAATTGCCTTTTGTTGTAACTAAAAGAGACAATCATATGCTTTCAAATTACCGTGGAGTTTGTGGGACTTGTGTCATGAAACTTGCAACATGCTCGTTGAAAGAATTTATGATTTTGTTAGTACGGATAACATTTGTGCTCTACTTCAGTCCTCAAGGCCTTATGGTCCTTTTATTTTGTTTTTGGCTATGTAGGCTTGCTGGTGGATCAGAAGAACTGTTGTGGCAATGCCTGTTAACAGACTTATCGTAAAAGCTTATATTTATGGGAAAGAACGCACAAAAACGATGGTCCTCACTAGCAATACTTGCTGTCATTGTAATATCCAAGAGACCAGTGGTGACACTATGAGCCCTAAGTGATAACATTTGATGTTAGAGTGCTGAATCTCCAAATGAATTTGAACTTAAATCAGGCCTTAAGACTAGAGCTAACTTACGAAGTTTAAAAGACAAGAATATATCCAATGTCTGGCCACTTACCTCAGATGGTAGGTTGACGCGCCGCAACTCGAAATTAATCGTTGGAGTAGCATCTTCGAGGTACACGTGGAGCATTTTCCCGTCCGGAGTTTTCAGAGGCGGAATACTGGGATCATACGGTAACTGATCTTGTGAATTCAGTATGTTTTGTGCCATACTGATCTTCCGGACTCGAAGACAAAGGCTATTTTCTGAAGTTAATATAAAGTGAAACTGATGCTCAACACCTAATGTCCTTATTTTTTCGACTGTTGGCCCTTTGAAAAGATCTAAAAGTGAAATCATTTATCGAAAGAATACACCAACCTATTAACAATGACTTTAAGGTCATATGTTTCTTCTCGACGTTGAACAGCTCACCAGAAAATAACAGCATTGGCTTAGCACCGAAGATGAGAGTTTTATCCTATCAGATATCGAAGTTTTTATTTGCAACCCACCTTGCAGTCGGACAATGGCTGGTACATTTTTATTCCGAGTTCAAACATATCCAGCAGTTCACCATCATGCAACCTTCCAAAAACAATGTTGTGTGGTCTTTTCTTAGAATGCATGCCAATAACAAACATAGAACAGTCGAACTTGTTACACATCTTTTCCTACACGAAGCGTTATGTTAATGCAACCACTTACGACGAATGACATATCTTCGAACGGAAGTACATTGTTCTTCCACTTTAGGCGGTAGACGAGTGGCTGTTTTATGGCGCACTACATATGTAAGAATTAGAATACATGAATTACCAGATCATTGAGAAACGTGGTAACCACCTCACTTGTGTGGCTGCCTTTTATGACTAATGTGCACTTGTCATTTTCTACTAACTTAGGAGCCCTACGCTCCAAAATCCTTTTCCCTTTGTGCGTTTTTGGTTTCCTAGCACAACATTAAAATAAATGACCGTTACCTAATGTCTGACATAACAGCCATGTTTACGTTAAAAATTTGACCTTCTACAACAGACAAACACAACTGTTGACACTAGCAACTGCGATGTTTTCTGAAGCCAAAAATATTATTACTACCGTTAGTGAAAACATACATCCAATAACAAGTGTGAACAAGCACTACTGCAGGCCAATGAGTCACCTACACACGAGTTATACAAGCAACGCAACTTTTGTAATAAGAGCCAATTTTCACCTTGTACATCGAACTTCATTTAGAGGAAACTTTAAATATCCACTTTTATTCCGAAGAGGTGAGGAGAAAAACTGTCACGATGTATTTTCGAGTAAAGTATGGGTTTTGGTGTTCAAGTTTAAAGAGACGTTAACGATCTAATGAAAATGGGAGATATTTGATTAGGTTTGGGATTCTGTTGTTGAGAAAATTGATATTGCTTTTCGATTCCCAGATGAACGGTTGCAGAAAGAAAGTATGCCCTTGGGGAAGTTATGCGTAGCAATATCTTCAATTCTTGTTTGGGAGCCCTAAGGGTTTGACATGTGTGATTCGCTATTAATTTACAGTTTGTTAACTGACTACGACTAGCTGTCAGTGTTATGGTAAATATTCTGTGAGATTCAGGCTTCTAGTGGAGAATAAGACTACTGATATAATTAAGATACCTCTTCAAAGGAGTAAAATGAGATGTGTAAACTTTTTATTTTCCTCGAGAATGAACGTAATCATTCGTGAAACATCGAAGAAATCATATGATGATTTAGACAAGCGGCAGAAATTTTGGTAATTCTGTACATTCTGATGAATATAAAAGCAAAAATTTCTCTGATGAAGATAGATAGGGGATGAATTTACACTCACGTGGAACGTTGGAACAACATAACTGCTTACTTCATCAAGTGGCATCAGCTTAACTTAATATCAGTGCGCATGAAGACAAGGAGAATACTATAGATGGTCCTCCTGAAATGTAACACCGCTTACAATTAGTGTCGAAAAGTACCTCGCGGTTGCATCCTACCACTAATATAGCTGTTACATGGGTCATATTAGTGCTAATAATCATTCATTTTCAGATAGCCAAAGTATCTTGAGCTCATTCATGAATCGTCTGTAGCTATGAAGGAGAAGAGAGTTGAACTCATGACCTTTATTTTGACTATTTATTATTAAACAGCTTATCTAAAGAGATATTGTGATGTTAGAGCTAAAATGCTTAAGCATATGCTGTTACTGTATGCCACTGTCCGTGAAGGGACAGTCGAGGAATATGAATACGACACTAAGCTTCCTATCAAACCAATAGTAATGCTACGAATTGTTCTTAAGAAACTTCATCAAAGAAAAAAACTTCAAAAAGATAAAAAGAGGTGTTACTCCAGTTGCTATAATTCTCCTTTTCAGATGTGTGAACCATCTCTCTGGTCATTATCTTAGTGCTATACTTGCCAAAAAACAATGTATATGACAGTGAAAGACACAGGACACTGTGGTGACAAAAGGATTAGAAGGAAGAATAGAGGTTTGCCAGAAAAGATAGGTGGGCAGTATTTAACTTTTTCATTACTTTTTAACTGGCTTCAAAAATACACTTTATTCACTTATTTGCAGAAGTTCGTTAACGTCAGTCAACCTGGGAAAATCAATTCAACACCGCCGAAATAATTATGCTAAATAGTTCTGTACAGAGCTTTACTGTGTTGTTATTTTTCATTAAATACACCTCACATCCTGCTTACTTTAGTTTTCCTATTGCATTTAAGTCAGAATAAATTTATCATCATGACGACATGGAGGCTTAGTTTATCAACGAGACCCGAGAAAGTAACTGGTGACATAATTCAATGTAAGTGAAATATTGCTACGATTGCCACGACTCCATCTACTCATTTATCCGTCTTACATAGTCTCCATTTTCCACTGAGCGTCAACATCCCTAATCATATGTACTGACACCACGCCTTAACTGAAATAGTGGTAATGTACTACCCTTAATTAGACTTAATCTGTGAAGACATCACGCTCTACTACAATTTTCAAGACCTATTCTTATATTTTGAATGCGTGGGTTAGGTGCTTTTGTTCCCCACAGACTAACCCATAGTTAGGAGACGTAACTGAGCAACTTCAGGCTTAGCTGAGGTCCCCGCAGGTTATCACCTAGATTGATCGATAGTGTTCTTAGGGAATTACACTGAATTATAGTGACAAGTTCATGCCCTTGAGAGTGCTTCCACAGTGAGCGTATCACATGGAACACAGGATTATTAAAACAAAAGTTTCATTTCAATGCAATACAAATAAGTTTATTTGAATTTATGCAGTCAGAAGTGAAAGTTTTCTTTCTGGAAGCATTTTTCACTGTCCCACGGAAACTGTCCAATATCCAACTGTTTAATTATGCCTCAATTCAAGCCAACCAACTGGATGCCCATGTCTAAAGTTATTCAGTATCAAAGAATACCGGCAAGGCTCTAAGTGAACAAGTTAAGTTACCTTCCATTGTTGTTTTCATAAGTAGAATCAATTCCTCCAACTGATTATGCCGGTCAATGTGTTGATAAGCGAGAAACACTCGAAAGTGAATTTAGAATATCTTCGTCAGAATGCAAATCCATTGGCTTCCTAATGGATTTAGATAACCTAGGGGCCTCATTAAAACTCGACATTCGTAAAGGTAATACATATTTAATTCACCGTAGACAACTTCGTAGGACATCTCAAAGTTATGATAATTCATTTACATAGATAAACATATTCATGATTGACAGGCGTGGTGATATTGGACTTAAGTATACAGTGAATCAGTTATCGACTTTACATTTGTTATTAGATGTGAAACACAAAACTGGCGGGAAACATTTCATGTAAATTATGTACATGTTGAATCGTTAACTGCTAGTAATTGTGACATTGAATCACATAAAAAGAATACACTTACCAATACTTTTTTAATGATCTAAGGAACAAACATTTTGGAAAGAAACAGACATACTACATAAAAGTTCCACTAAATCACCCCACTGCAATGCTATATATCTAATCCACCGACATTTGCTGTGAGTATTAAACGTAGTGTATGAGTGAGGCCTACGATTTATAGGGTTCTAAATTTTGAAAGTCTTCTAGTTCAATCCTAACCTTTTCTCGGCAGTGGAAACGTCTTCTGACATCTGCTTCCCGTCAGAGTGATTACCTGTGATGAAATTCTAAAAAAGCTTCGTTTACGAAGCCAATTACTGTCATGACTTGTCAATGTTGATTCGCAAGAAATTATTAGATTATATGACGGCGAAAAACAATGAGGGAGATATACACGCATAACCACAACTCAAAAAATTTATTGAGACCCAGGGGAACGTGTAGTGACCCATTTTATCACTCATCATCGTAGTATACTTTCACTATGTAATTGAAGGTAGACGTTAAATATCACGTTCTAGAACAGCTGTTAAGATTTCACTTGGAAATTTTCTCGTCAATAATTTTTAATAAAATTGTGTTATATGTTATCTGGATTGATGGGAATTCCCATTTTCTGGTTTGTTAGGTTGGTGTCTGCGTCATGTAGTCCGACTGCGACACCCCCTAGCATATTGGTTGCAACGATCAGTGTTTCAGGCAAACTGTAGCAAAATATCGCTATAATGAGAAAGATAGAATAGTTGAAGGGTGATGTCATCTACACAAGTAGTCTACTTTATTTAGATGCTGCACCTTTCAGCATGGTATCATTCAATGAAGACTTCACGTCTCAGGACATTAATTCAGCCTATTTCCGTATTTCGGCACTTGGAAATCACCTGTAAATCGTAACAGAAGCTTCTGTGGGAATAGAAGTATTCATGTAGATGTGTCTCACCGTGTGTGTTTGGACAGGAATTATCGTAAGTTGAGAGGTTATTTCTAACTGTATTTCATGTATATTCGCACTGTTTGGTGTAGCGTAATAAGAGTTATGTGGACTCAATGCATAAAACATATCTCAACTTTATTAATATTGTGCCATTATCTGCTTAGCTGACTGCTTGGCTAGCAAACGTAGGTGGTTGTCATGATTATTGCAAGTGCAGTGCAGTGGAGAAGACAATCACTCGTTAAAATTTCCTTACTGTGTCACTTAGTGCATTAATTCAGTGTATAGTATTATTATACACATGGATTGTGTCAATTATGAGAACTGAATCTAGTCAGCTCTATTACTATTAATCTACTGTCTGTTATGCCATTCTCACTGGCACTGTAAACTTAATGCTGCAATGTTTTTGATCACCAATAGTGGTGATGAATTTTTCCTGAATTTTCCATTAACATGAAGCAGTACAGATGCAGTGTCACGATCGAATGTCTAGGTTGCATTATATGTCATTGTTATCCTCATCAACACCACAGGTCTGCGTATCTTACAATATTTTAAGTATTTCTCTATTCTGTTAACACTCTGCATAACTGTTTAGAGTTGAAACCTGTGTACTTTAAATTTAATGGCTATAGTCTACTAAATATGAGAATGTAATATCTGTAGGATTCATAAAACTCTGTCCACTGGATCTTAATGTGTGTGTGGATCAATTTCTAAGTTACACATTTGCAATACTTTATTTAATGTAAACGTATTTAGTGTGAAGTTCATCTGCGAGTCAGGTTGATGAGAGTATGGCGCCTCAACAGTATGGAAGTTTCAAAGTTGTCTTGATATTTACGTATAATCGTTTAATACCGGTAAACATATGGGGTCTATTGATGCTTATGGTGTCAATATAAAAACCAGCTGTAAACTACAAATAAATTTATTTGCATGAGATATAACTTAGTATTAACAGAATCAGTGCATTCATAGTGTGTGCTGATATGTGGAATTACCATTTATAACTTCATTTTGTGATAGTCCTCACATGTGCTTTATTTTTTCAGGTATACGGAGGTTGCCGAATATGAAATCTTGATAGCATTATTAGAAGACGGAGATTATCTGAAAAATGTGATGCATTAGCGCTGTACATTTCGAGCAATTTGATCACACATTTACTTGTCAAGTCAATATATATGGAAAAGTTAAATTAAACAAGGTGACAAAAAAAGAATTAAGAATAATTAACACAAACGTTTGGTAATCCAATCAAATAAGGATTACCAAGTTAGGTTAAGAGTAATAACAAACTGTTTTTGAATACACAAGGGGGGCTTAAGTTTATGAACGGCTATAGCCTCAGCGTAT